TATGTAAGATGCTTTTAACATGTGTATGCTCCACTCATTTAACAGTTATACAAATTAAGTAAAATAAATCACTTTAAGAGTGCAATCAGCCAGTAATGGAGCATATTACTACAAACAAGGTTATTTTCTTGCAGATGTGATTCCATCAATATGGGAATAAGCTCCATATGAACATCCAATTTTGGCAAGAATTGCAAGCTAGTCCATTTTTCCATGGAAGTCTCATTAATCCTATACATTGATGGCTTATGTTGCATCTTACTCTAATAGACATTATTAGTAAGTAGACACCTAGCTGTCTAGACTCTGAATTGAATTAAATACTTAATGAACTCAACCCCAGGAAGCTTCATCTGAGTGAGAGATGGCAGTTATAGGCAGATTTGAGTGTAGTATATCTGCACTCTGCAGGACAGAAACATTCTGTTTCTATCTTACCTTAGAAACTGGTTCAAATACTCTATCTTCACCTTTAAATAATCTCCCTTTCTCCAAAATACAACATATAAAACAAATATTTTAATATCAGAATCTAGCTTAGGTTTCCTTTACCTCTGCTATCTTTATCCTTAAAAATACTCAATTATTTTGATGCCTTGAAATATTTCTGATGGACTTTACAGAAAAAAAGGCTGATGCCCTATTATGGAGTAGTATGGGACTGGGACCATGGGACTCATGAATCGCTGAAATATTGTAAACTTCTGAGTTTATGTATATTTTGCATGTTCCTGTGTAAGGAAGTTCTTGTAATTCATGATCTCAAAGGGCCTGCCTGTAGTGCTCAAAGGCTAAGGACTATCACTATACTAAAAGTTGTGCCACTCATTCTACCTAATGAAGATTTACAAATTTTGCCCTGCAGCTACCCAGTCTCCTAGACAAATCTAACTTACTGTAAATAGCCCCATACAAATGCAAGAGTTACTAAACAGTCTTTTACTGAGTCAGGAGGGACTATGTAAAAAGAAAGGAAAAACTGTAATTTCCCCCAAACAGTGAGAAAACTATTAGTAGGAAATTGGGGTTGGAGCAATGAAAAGAATTGGAAGGTTGGGTTTTGATGAACAGTGCATTTTTCTTGATCGTTTCTTTGTTAAAGCAGCAGTAATCCTTTATCATTATCTCCCTTGCTGGGAAAATCAAATTACCTGAAGAAGCAAAGTTTGTTCTTGCTAGTTTTTATGATATAATAATTCTTAACCAAATATATATATGGTACCGTGGAAGACATCCCTCTGGCTTTTAAATAATAAAAAATTATCCTCTTCTTTCCTCACTGGCATCTCCCCACCGTTTGTGATTCTAGTTTTCTTGGTTTTGTCCCAGTCTTGCACGTATTAATTAGCTTTGATGAGACAGTTTGCTAGAAAAAAAACCACAATGCAGGCAGCAGATGAAACGAAATTTTGTGTAGGACAAAGGAGGAAAACAAAAGTCATTTTGTAGTGTATCAAAAACTAACTCCCCCCACTCATCTAACATCTAATAAAAGTGTCAGCTATAATTTCAGTATGTCTTAAGATTTTTTTTTTACAAAACTAGTTGCTGGTAACATTATGAAAACATAAAGACCAGTAGCTTAATGTGTAAAGCAGGTGAAAGGGAAAGAATCTGTGTTGAGGTGAGCAAAAATGGAAATGTTCATTTGAAAATGAAATGGAGCCAGATGTCTCTCATTTCTGGATAGCATTTGGACTACCACTAAAACACTTAACTAAGATTTAGTACTCTAATCAACAAAACAGTACAATATTATAACATTAGAAAATGTACTCTTAAATATTTCAAGCATATTCTGAAATAACGTATAACTTAAATATAATCCAGAACTCATGACACATTGTTGAAAGGAAAAAAAGAAGACTTTGAATTATAATGTCTTCCTAATACCTAAAAAAATACTAGACGATCTCACCAGCGGTATCTTGTAAGCAAAAGTACATGGAACTCTTAACGTTTCTTCAAATAAAAAACCTCAAATAATAAACTCATTCACTGATATACATTTTCTAATACCAAACCCTAAATTAATACTTTACAAATAACAATCAAAATATTAAAATCTTAACTCTTTCAGACTTTATGAATTAGGTGTATACCTTAAAATTCAAAATTCAAGAAAACACTAGTACCCAATTTCATTAGTTCTTTTCAGAAGTGACAAACTGAATTTCCATGTGGGAATTTGTTCAGTAATAATGGGCAGTGAAATTATTTAAAAAAACTAAAACATAGCTAAAATTGACCACTAACACTGGCAGTGTAGTTTCAAGAACAGTTTTAACTTAAATAAGACAAATTAGAGGTATATTTATCTGTTAATTGCCCTCAACTGAAACTCCACCAATGTTTTCAGGGTTGGAGAACTCTGAGAAATCTATTCCCTATTTCTCTGACTTGCTACTGTGAGTAGGAATGAAGGCCATTTGTTAAGGCAATTAAGTATTCTGAATAGATTCACATCTCATCAGTCCAAATTTATTCTTATGCTGAACAAAATTTTCTTTTGAATGAGAAGAAAATAAAGGGGTAAGAATTTTCAAGGTGAATAAAGTACAAATGATTTCTTTAACACAGAGACCTGTCTTGTTCAAGAAACTGTTAGGTGGGCAATACAAGTTTTTTTTTTTTTTTTTGAAAAGTAATCCAGTTATAATAGCATACATTATATTATAAACTCAAACGCAAATTTTTTGAAGGCAAGAGCCTATTCATTTTCTTTATAGTTCTAAGGTGGTTGGCCTTGAACAGTAGTTTGTAGGTAACCCTTAAAAATACATTGGAGGAAAAGCTGAATTATTAATTGGACTAATAAATGGTCAAATGGGTGGCCACTATAAGTACTACTATATTTTAGATTATTTGATTTAGATAATTCTTCAATCCAGCATTTTTAAATATATTTAGTAAAAAGAAGTGGCCGAAGCAGAGTACTAATTGCAGTCTACTAGAATGTATCATAATTAAAAATGTTTGAATTAGTTCTAGAGAAAAAAATATCACTTTGATTTTAAGTCAGTACTAATATTAAGAACTGCTTCAACTTTCTGTAAAAGTATATTCCATAAAAAAGTGGGAATTAAGAGATTGTATCTTACTAAAACAAAACGATAATAATAGGATAAGAATATCCTGTTATCCTATAATATTAGGATAAGAATCTGCTATATAAAGTTAATTTCCCATTAAAAGCAGCAAATTGATTTCATCCTATTAAAACAAATGAAATTTTAAGTATATTAAGTACATTAAATGAATATTAAGTATATTGTCTTATAACAACTTTTCCCCTCCAAATAACATATAGCACATCAAAAAAATCTGAGGTGTTGCCCTGAGATGCTAATTAGCACACTAAAGGGGTCAAGAATTCAAGTGGTACAAAAATGAAGCCTATAATAGAGGTGCAGAGGTGCCTTTTGAAAGTGTTGCTGGTTCCCTACTACCACAGTTATCCCCAGAAATCAAGAACAGTCTGCTGTATATTTCCTTCCTGTATTTTATAATGAAAAATTATATCTAGTATGGCAATGTTGACTCATGTGGAAAAGATTTAGTCTTCTTAGATTATACTTTAACAAGTTTTCTCTCATTTCTAAACCTAATTTCAGTACTTAAAATTTTAACAGAGGAATATTTTAACCTCCTTTTTCAACGTTCAAATAAAAAGGGCTCTAGTAATGCTGTTATGGTTTGAAATATAGCTTTCCATCACATATTTTACTCGTGATTTAAAGTTTTACTTCTCAAAAATTCAAGATACTGAAATTTCCAGAACTGACCTGGCTTATTGTAAATAGGGATTTAGTTTTCAGTACTAGTATGCCTGGTAATCAGTCTACGTTAAAATACTTCTTATTCATTAAATGCACATTTAGATGCTTGCAAAGCTGTAACTTAGAACATTATCATACGTTGCACTCTACCAGATTTAGACATTAAGCATTTATTTGTAAGTTAAATACGGAATTGGTTCTATAATTCCAACTGTTATGAATTTCTAAATATAAATAGTACTTGTTTTTCTTCATGCTGGATTAAGATATATATTAAATACAATTAAGTTACATTTAATCACCTCACAAATAAGAGGGATGATGAAAAGATTTGCTGGTTTTAACTACTTAAATCTGAGACATTTCACATTACTTTTCCCACTATTCCCTAACTTTACATTGGTTTTAAGGCTCTATATACAAATATGTATATTTCCAAATTAGAGAAAAGCAAATTAACAAAATTGATTATACTATCTTTTATACACAAAACTTTGATTTTATAGTCAATGTTGTATTTTAACCATACATTTTAATAATTTTCTTGCGGGGAATCTGCCTACTGAATGATTTAAATCACATGGCAATAAATACAATATGCAACCTAAAGAGACAAAAATACAGAAGGGCACAGAACAGTTTTTTCAATGTGACAGATTTTAGAAACTTACTTTTTCACATGCTTAATCAGAGGAAGTTAAGCCTAAGTTAAATTAGGCTGTTTTTATATCTACAATTCTTTAAACTCTGAAAATTGCTTTTAAAGTCCAACAGCTAAATATTATCAACATGCTATATTTCAAATCACAAATACATCTTAACTACTTGGATTCTAAAGACATGGGCCAATTAAAAATTAGAGGCAAACACACACACACACACACACACACACACACACTCATACACACACACACACCCTGTAATAGAGTGTTCGATTGTCACCCTTTGACAATTATTTTAATAGAACAGTAGGCAAATTCAAGCTGATACACATCCTAATGAAAAACAGCCAGAAAGAAATCCATTATAAAATTAAGGAACAATAGAGACTTGAATCTTTTAGTCTTTCTAATGGAAGGAAAACAGTTCCATCTATGCTTGAGTAACAGTACTTTCCAAATAAAAGACTAACATCTTTCCCCACGAGAAACTTCTCTTTTACAATGGCATCATGTTTTAAAAGGACGGGGCTAAAGGAGGAATTACACATACATAATTAAATTTCTTGTTTGTTAAATCAAGCTTTATTGATAAAATGGAATTCAGAATATCTTTATAGGAACAGCAGCAGGCCCAGCCAATCATGATAGCAAAAATGTGGCAGTCTCCTACTAAAAGTAGGAAGCTGCTGCTTATCAATTAGTAATTAAATGTAAGGACTTGTAAAAGAGGTGCAAAGAATCAAGGCATTCTAGCCCCAAGATTGATATTCTTGTGAATATACTGTATTACCTGCAATACTCATGGCAACAAGAAGAGGACAGCCTGAAACACAGTTAAATGAAGGGGCCACTTTTTCAACAATGCCAATCCCACTGCCAAGAACATTAAGATAGTTTGCAGTAACTTTCTAAATGTTCGGCTGTGTAAAAATTTTGGAATTATTTCCCATAATCATGTGTATATCTGAGCATCGAGTTGACATGGCTGCTGCTTTCCCTGTCCCAACCCAAGTCCAAACACAACATGACTTAAAGGGCTTTTTATCTGTTGCATCACACAACAAGCCAAACATTTCTTGTAATTTTGATAGTGATTTAAAGCAGTTCATAATTAAATATGAGCATTTTATACAAGAACAATTACACTTTACAAAAAACAAAATCATACAACAAAAATTGCTGGAGTCTGATTTACAACATGAATTATGGTTTGAAATCACGTTTACATAAGTCTCAAATTTACAAAAAAAAAATCAGTTCTGGGCTTGCTGTTGTACTGCTGAAGTTCTATGGTGTGATCACTCTCACCCATCACACGCCCTTCTTTAAAGTTGAGGATGGATGTTTGAAAGGGGCAATGAAGTTGAGCTGTACTCTCCTTTGGAGGTGAAGGTAAACTCCATGGCTAGATGAGCAGTTTCACCACATATCATCAGTTGACGTAGAGTCCTTTATAAATTAAAGAAACACAATACGGAAATAAATAAAATCTTAGAATCTGAATAATGTAATTTTAGAATTACTAAGCTTTTAGATTTTAAGTAAAATTTTAATTTTAGAATTTAAGGGCTTTACACAGTACATAATATGTGTATATATATAAACACAGCAATATTTAACCTATTCAAATAATTTTAACAATCCTTTTGTTTTGGAATATCTGAAATGTTATCTTACTATGAAGTCGACCAAATCAAAACTACTAAAAAGAATTTTTTTCCTCAACAAAACCCAACTTATTTTCTGAACATTATTTATGTAAGATTTATTTATTTAAATAAGATTTATTTATGCATACAGAACTGGGGTGCAGGCAAGAGGTACAGGGGCGATAAGAGGATTCACCAGAGACAGAGTGGGGAGCAGTAGGCAGGTCAGGAGAGGTCTACCATGCCATATGGGTCACCTTTGGGGCAGGCGGGGATTGAACTCATGCTGAAGTGGCTTTAGTTTCTTAGTGCTGTGCTTTAACCTGTTGCTTTAACCACCAGGGAGGGCCCAATATATAAACTTTTATTGCATATCAAGAAATTAAGGCCTCAAAGAATATGAGATTTGAAGAGTCTTTATAATGCGATATACAAAAACAAAATATTTCAGAGCCGTGCCTAACTGATTTTAAGTTGCCACTCTTTGGAAAACAGAATACTACAAGGGGAATTTTAACTGGGTACTTGCTGAAGGCTATGACATCTAAATGTTGATTTATATAGAATTCTTCAATATTTAAATGAAGTACATCAATGATCCTGGCAAAGGTATTTCCAACTATTTAATGGAAATGGGCATTCTGAAGTTCTGTTGCAATTGCTTACAAAATTCAGCTCAAAATCAAGATTCTGAGTAGATATAATCCCAACTTAAAAAAAAAAATTGAGTGGACAAAAACCTTTGAAACTTTCTAAAAAGCCATCTGTTTAGAGAGGTTTCAAATACCCAGAATGATTCAAAGGAAGTTTTTTTTTTTGAGAGGTAATTATATCCTCACTCTTAGATCTATGGTAAGCAAAGTTCAAATCAATTAATCAATCAATGGACTAGGGATGTGTGTGCAAGAATGGCTGCACTAAACAACTCAGCAAGAACAGGAAGGATATGCATTTCAAGTGGAGGGGGAGGGAAAGCAGTGGGAGCTAAAATGTTACTTACAGTGTCATCGTTTTTGTAAGGATTCAGTCTATTGTAAACGGCTTCAATTATATTCCGCCTAAATTTTTAAAAGCAGAAAGTTAATTCTTCATAGTACAAAATTATTTAACCCATAGCTGTTGATTAAAATGCCAAAGATAATCTCATAGTTTTCCAAGTTCTATTTCTTACTGTCAATAAGTGAGCCCCACTTTAAGATATCTGGGTTCCGATGTTAAAGTAGAGGTAAAGGTTGAATTTACTCTGAAATAAACATTCTATCAACCCAATTAGTAGAATACTTAAAAATCACAGTTTAAAAGAAAAAAGTTAGCATATATAGCGTACTCCTATGTAAACTGCTATGGTTATGAGTCAGCAATGAGAATGGCAGTTCTTGAATAAAGTAATATATTCTGGTTAAGAGTTAACTGTTATAGCCTCCATACTTCTAAAGCTGATTTGGAATTTATATGCAGTCATTTCACAGAAATGTAAGAAAAGGCTTCTAAAAACTAAAAGCTTCAAACAGGAATTTTACATTTACTATTTAGTATGATGATTATAAAGAACATGGTCTCACTTGTAGAACACAGTGGATAATCAAGGAAACCAGTCAGTATTCCATATACCAATTATGTGGGTGTCCGAGGTAAAAATTTTTAATTTTTATCCTAAAACTGCTTGAAGTCTCCATTTCTTAAAGATACAAGCTTAATATTTAACAAAGGTAAATCCAATTCTATTAAGTACAAAGGCGTATACTTCTGTCTTCCCTTGCACCAAAAACAACCAAAAACACTGGGAAAATCAGAAAGGTAGAAATATGCCCAAGTGGAGTGAAAGACAGATGTTTACCCCTGGGGTGTTAAAGCATTCAGGGAGTCACAAAATCAAATTATAACAGTTGGATGAATTAGGACACAGAATTTTGTGGTGCTGTAATTTAGCTAAAAAATAATTCACTATTTTATAACAATATAACTCAAATCTCCACTAAAGACAGCCTTCAGTCTAATTAATTACAAATAATGACATTATGGTACCTATGTTCTAAACAAGCATTATATATCACTACTTAAAAAACAGTGAATAACATTTCGAGTATACAGATAATAGCATTACTTGAAAAATTAGGTAAAGGTGTGTGTACAGTGGACACCTAACATTTTCATGGTACTTAGAGAAACTGAGAATATACAAAATGTAACTTACTTGCTTGCCAATTCACCCCCTGGTGGGAGGCTGGGGATGTTCTCACTGGCTAATGTGCGCATCACATGGACTAAGTCAGGGACGCCTTCCCCCTGCTTCTTTATGATTTCTGGGAATCAGAAGTACTTTTTTTGTAAGTGTTATCCAAATTTAATTAAAAAAAAAAAAAACTGAAACAAAGATAACTTAGGTTTATAAAGATGGCATTTACCACATCTGAGATTTTCTAAACTGATATAAGTTTATCTTTGAAATTTATGACAAAGGGGTGCACAAAATGATACAAAAGTCAAGATAATTTCCAAATTAGCTTCAAAAATATAAAATGAGATAAAAAGGTAAAAAAATTTCACATTAAGATCAACATATTACATTACATAAGAAGGATATGTATGTACAAATGAGAATGTTCTTAAGATGCCAACTAGCCACTTCTGAGATTAGCTCCTCTCTTTACCACTGGAAACATATTGTCTAAACTTTGCCCTGAAAATACACTGCACAGTTGTTTTGGTTTTAAATAAACATTTGAAAAAAGATAAACCTTTATTTAAGTACAGGGAATTTTTTTATCTAATCCAAATAATTTTTACATAAATACTTATATTTGCAAAACAATAAGTATATAGCATGTGCAGATTACGTCATGTACTTAAACACCACTCTCAGCTTAACTTTTGTCTAGAGTATTTTAAAGCAAAAAATAGATATATAATAAGAACAAAGTCTGGATTAGGAAAAAAGTCTCAATTCATGATAAACCATACAACTACATTTAAAGTTGTTAATTTCAAAACATCCAGTTATTAAATGGGTATAATATGATCTGCAGTGTTACCATGCAGAAGCACGTTACTCATACCACAGGATACCAACAATTATATACAAACAAATTAAAGAACTCTCAAACTATTCACTTTTAGTACTAGAAGTCTGCAGTTGGAGTTTTAGCATATTTATTCTAAATGTAAGATCATGCCAAAGGTATTCATAAGTTATATGTTCAAGTTTTGTTCAATTTTTGGGTTTTCAATGTTTATTATAAGAAATTTTCTTTGTCATCATTTGTAAATGTAACAATGCATGTAAAGATCTTTCATTCTTTAATCCAGTCTCAAATATTAATTCAACACTAGAGCCACTTGTTAAATGAAAGACATTACTACCCATATTTCTTTAAATGGCTTAAATTATACTTTCAGAATAAAGGCCAAATTTTACCACCTATATTTTGCCTTTAAAAAAAAGTCTTAAACTGAACAAAAAGCAAGGATCTCAGATTTGGTTTGCCAAGTTCCTTTATTGTTTAATCTTAAACATCTAGTATATTTATTCTACATGGTTCTAATGCTGAAAATCTGCTATACAAAAATAAAGGGATTTGATGTTTACCTAAACTGCACAATTTCACAATCTAAAGTTGTAATACACTTAACATACAGTCTCTGCTAAACCAATACAATTACTGGATTGATAGCTAGATACATTAGAATGAACACTGATAATAAATTCATTCAATCAATAATGGTTTCAGGTCTAAAAAAACATTACCTTGAATTATCTATATTTGATGAAATATAAATTAGGATGTTTTAATTATGAAGAAAATTACACGAAGACAAATTCTTTAAAAAAAATTATGTAAGGCTTTGAAAACAATACCTCCCATTCCACATGGGATATCTGATATTAATACTACACTAGTCTTGCTTGTTTCTGCTCTTAAAAGAGAAAAATAAATTTTAGGAAATAGTCTTTTAATTGTATTTTAAGTAGAACTGTAAAAAGACCGAATTTTTAAAAACTAAAGTATATATATGTGTAGCAGATCTATGCTTCACATACACATAAACAAACACATTCAGCCCCTCCCTTTTCCTTCACCACCAATGCTGAAGGATTCTATCAGCAACTAAAAGTTTGGGAGGTCAGTAGTAAAGATTTAAAAATATATACACAGAAATATAATCTTAAATTAGCTTGGTAGGATAAAAGCTTAAGTGGTATGGTTTAAATTATGAGCTGAAATCTTTTTACAACCCAAGAGTCAAGTATTTAGAAGGGTACAGATAATGAGATGAAAAGCCTTTGTCCTTTTCTATAGTGTGAAGTTAAACAGAATTCAAGGCGAATAAAGTGAGGTTTAGTAGGTTACAGCAACATAATGAAGGCATATGTTTTAAGAAAAATAAAGTAAAAGGTAGTTAGTGTTTGCAGCATTTTATATTTTTTGGTAACTGACTGCAGCATTTTCTATTTTTTACAACAAGTAACTTTTACAAATGCAAACAGTTACATTCTTTCTGTTTTTGAGTAGAGCAGCAGTTTTAATTAATATAATTACTCTCTTGTTGCAGTCTCATCAAACCTACCTCAGTAAAGAATGTTTATAACAAGTTTCCAATTGAATAGTACAACACTTCAACACATCAAAAATAGTGAGTATCGATGTAAACGCTGTTCAGGTGGCAATTTTAGGTTGATAAAAAAGCAGTATAAATTACTGTAACAAAATTAAGTATCTAAAGCAATTATTTAGAATTGCATTAAAAACTTAAAAGAGTAAAACTAAAGAAAAAAGCAGACTTGAAAACTTGATCCCATTTCATTGTAAATAAAACTAAAGTACTTACTTTTATTTCTTTAAATCAGTAAGAAAACATGTACGTCTAACTTACTTTAAAGTGCCAATAAGTCATTAACTTATCCCAATACATTTTTCTTATGGTTTCATATTTTTTCACTAACCAGAGTATGAACCAGTGTTATATGACTTGGTAGCATCTAAAGATGTTATTTTACTGTAAATACTGTATATATACACATTTAAAATATATTTCCAAGACCCAAGGAAATAGGGAGGAAACAAATTATTGAATAGTGTCCAATAAGTGAAATACTAAAAAGTACTTATACATACTAGATATATCATTACCAAGTGAGGGGGAGCAATAAAGTCAAAATAGCAGCTGTAGATAACACTGAAAATCAAAACCAATCATGATTCTAATATCAGAATGATTATAATTGATATCAAACAATAAAAAGGGAGAAAACAAAATTAAAGTGCATATTGTTAATAAGGCAGGCACAGCAGGATATAATAGTGTAGTGTTTACATGCTATTTAAAGGTTTAAGGTGCAAATTAATAACATCAGAAGCCCAAAATGCATTTTAACACTATTAAAGGCATGTCAAAATTTTCTGCTTAAAGAAACTGCATAATCTACATGCTTATTGTATATATGCAGTATGTTGGAATTCTTTGGGGGGGGGGACTAAATATTTATATCAAGTAATAGCTGTATCAAAGATCACTTGATTTTTGGGAAATATTTAAAGATATTACACTTCAGAATTACAAATATCTAATTGTCCAAAGTAACTTGCAGAATTATGACAACTATTTTTTGATTTTACTCAAAATTTACATATCTGTGAGATAGAGACCCACTACATTCTTTTTTTTTTTTTTTTCAGGTCTAAGTGAGGAAACTTATGGCTTAAGAAAAACCCTGAACGATTTTCAAATAACTTTTTCAAAGCTGTGGCACATGAGACTTGTTAGTAATCAGAATCTTCAAGTTTTTTTTTAAAAAAGGCTTAAAGTCACATACATCACTTCACACAAAAAGATGGTATTCAAGTTATCACCATCATTAAATAATCTGTTTATAATTAAACCACAAATCAGACTTTCATGGCATAAAATTACTCATGCCAGTGAATTTATCACGAATTTTAAAGCATACAAACACTTTTAGCCTTTTTAAACAAAAGTATCCTGAACAGAATGTACAGGACCACACTGGTTTTATGGCTAATGTAACTATAGTAAGACAATCACATACATCTAAACAGCTACTACAGAAATGCCCTTTCCCACTTTTGTACACTAAACATTAAATGTCAAAGGCATGTAAAGGTCTAAAAGCTAAAATGTTTAAAGTTTGATTGTGTTGATTTTCTTTAATAAAGCTACTTATTTTTTGTTAAATGATCCACCTTCTACTCTGCTTTCCAGGTACTTGTCCAACTCTGCCTCCTTCTTCACTGCTTCTGGAGATACTTTGGGTGCATTTGGAAAACAGATCAATATCACACTCATGTTGTCTCGACTTCCCTGGGAAGAAAAAGTGTAAGAAAAAAATTTCATTTTTGTTTTGTTCTTTAAAGCCTTTAAAATTTTTACAGTCATGTCAAATGTATTTATACTTGGTCTAATGAAAAAAAATACATATGCTCCACACCCTCTATATAGTATAATCAACACTCCAAAAGACAGAAGAGAGTCACCGTGGATTAAATTATACCCTAACAGTTTTTCAAAAATTTAGGAAAAAAATCCCTAAACATTTACTGGCAGCCTACTTGAAGTGATAATTTACACTCACTCACTCACTCAGTTTAACAAAGGAAAAAAATTTGTTGGCATTCCTTACAACTGGATCTAACCTATAATTAATTATATGTATACTTGAGCAATTTACATTTAAAATGCATTATAGTTAGCTGTGGGGCCGACTGTTTCATAATAAATAGAAACACAAAATCAGAACATTACATATATAAAATTTATAAACCAGTTTTAACTTAGTTTAGAAAAATGGCTATTAGGAAGTACATTCATGTTTAAGAGACATTTAGATAGTAAAAAATGCTGTTATTAAAATACTTGAAATATGTTTTATGGAAATGTAAATAATGGAGTTTTACATTTCAAGTATTTTAATCCCATTAAATGGGAAAACTGACTTTATATCATTAAACAATCAAAATAATTCAATATTAAAAGACAATCTTGGGGGGAAATGCATAAATTGTGGCAAATAGTTATTCCTGAATAATTCATAAAATGTAGAAGGGAGTAAATGGAATTGAATCATAATTTGCTAAAATCTGATTCTGGAATTCTCTCAAGAAAACAGCTTTATTTTAGCTAGCAAGTATTTAACCCTCAAGTTCTGTAGAATAATCCCAACAAATGGATTCTAGTTTCATGAATTTTAACAGGGACAAAGAACATATATATTGTTTGGTTCTCCCAAATTTGGAATTAACTGCACTATTAAGTTGTTGCTCTACTGATTTTTTTCAACATATGTTTGATGCCATAGTAACTTGTGTTGGAGGTTACATAAATCTGATTTCTAATTATGATTAGATTTTAACTTAGGTTTTAAGTAGAGCCAGCAGTCTGCATAAAACTATGACATATACTGACTTTCTACTTTTGCATATTAAAAAAATGAAAGATTGTAAGCTTTATGAAATCAACTCTTGTTAAATCAATTTAGTTAAATGAATATTAGAGACAAAACAGTGTGGAAGAGATAACACATTCTGAATCAAGGGTTTATAATCTAGTCCAAGCTTACCTGAAGTCATACAGTCTCACACAAAATTCTTCTGACTTCATATCCAAGGCTATTACTATTACATCATATCAAATGATCACTGGTCTTTCTGATGGTACTACAGATTCATTAGACCAGAGTCTCAAAGTAAGTACATAAATGTACTGATATTATGTGCTTAAAATATTAAAAAAATTAACATTTTACATATTATACCCACTGTGTCTATTAAAATATTAAAATCATAACACATTACAGGCACTGAGGTCTAGCTTTCTCCCCCCACTTTCTCTTCAATCATGTACTTTGCTATAATCTTTTCACCTCTTTGATAATCTCCCCTATATTGTAAAGCTCAACTAGTCGAAGTTACTAAAAGACTAAACATTCAGACTATAATTCTTGCATATCTGGTAGCTGGGTAATTTATTTCTAAAAAAATTCCTATATTTTTATAGAGTATCCTATGTTTGTCCCAAAAAATTATTACTAAGAACTACAGGGGAAAGATGATTCAATATTAGAGCAGTAATTAAGATGACATAAAAATCATTTTAATAAAAAAGTCTAGCTACCTTATACAAACAGGTGTCGACTACTTCATTGCAAACTTTCTCAAGGTCATCAGTGACTTCAAGTCTGGATCTTACAAAATCACAGAGCTCTTCATTTCCCATAACATCCCAAATACCATCACATGCAAGGATAATGAACTGATCATCTTCTTCAGATCTTTCAATATCATGGACTTCAGGCTCTGGTGAGACAAGCTGCTCTGTAGGACCTTTTCCATGGACACATTTGTAATCAAAGTCCCCAAGGGCCCTCGAGACAGCCAGAGAGCCATTCACACGCTGAATCATTACAGAACCACCTGCATTCTGAATTCGTTCTTTTTCCAGCGGATTACTTGGTTTGTGATCTTGTGTGAAGAAATGAACTTTCCTGTTCCTACAAAGTAAACCTCTCGAGTCTCCACAGTTAATGAAGTAAGTATGTTGAGGAGAAATTAAGACACCCACTGCTGTTGACCCACTTCTATCTGCACCATGTTTCTTCTCTGACATAACTCTCATGTGTTCATCAATCTCCAGAAAACCTGTTCTGATTCCATTCTTTACATTTTCCACAGAAGGTGCTCCTGCAGACCCTTTAAAATCCTGGTTATTGGTGATGTGATCTAACAAGTGCTCACAGCAGTATTTGGCAACCTGAGAACCAGCATGCCCATCATATACAGCAAAGAATGACCATGTTTCAAGTCCACTTGGCAAACCGATCACAGCCGTATGTGCATCCTCCATTTCAACTCGCCAGCCTTGCATGCTACTTAGCCCATAACGCAACCCATTACCCTGGCCCTGGGCATTATGCTTTTCCATCTTTGGCTTATCTAAAAATGCTCCCATTATGTCTTGATCCTCTCGGTCTGCAAAGGAAGAGAAACAGAAAGTTAATAACGATCAAAGTCACAAAGCACATATCCAAGAACATTTTTAAGAGTCAAGGAGATAACAAAAAGCTTTAAGTACGAACTTAACTCTTGGATAAGAGTTAACTCTTGGAGTGTCCCCTTAACTCTTAATAAGAGGACACCCACTTAATTGCTGATATGGAATCTGAAGATTAACCAAGGAGAACTGGTGAAGGGGCTGGTCAGGTACTACTCAGTACCTGACAAGAGAAAACTAAAGCACCAGGATGAAGGGAACTGATCTGACACCCTCCTAGGCACCAATTAAGGTAGAAAGGAGACTTGACAATGGCCTTCAGTTCCTATCAGCCACATCAAGCATCAAGCACTTACAGATACTGAACTTGGGAACTTCAGAACTAAGTTGAATGTGTTACCAATCAAGGAAGTCAAATGAATTCACAAGATACACCAAAGCCTACTAATTCAAACACCTTAGTTGAACATTGATTTTCTAAGTTCGATTCCAAACTACCTAGTTGTATTCCTGCTACATGAATCCTCTGAAAAAGTACACAAAAAAGGAACCTATTCACAATATTACAGTTTGCAAGCTCCTTCGGTAAGTCATTGCTCATTATCAGTCCCCTTAACTGGAATCCCTTACCTTTCCCCTCCACTTAGAAAGTATGCCCATCCTTTAATATCTGGCTCAAAATTCTACCTTTCCTTGATATTAAGGTATCAAATTTTACCATGAGATAGTAAGTCTTAATTTTCAAGATGCAAAGCAATTATACATTCAACAAAACTGATATACATGTAACAAAATTATGTAATCTATTAATTGAATGGTAATAAAATGTAACATTACTATTATATGCTGCGACCATTAGGTATAAATAGTAACAGATCAGAGGGTCTAGGAACAATCTGTGGACAAACCTATAATCTTAGCTACTCTAATCCTTACCAGTAAGGATTGGTCTAGTAACAGGCTAGGATTTACTTTGACCTCTATTTTAGCCTAGGAATGTAGAGACTTGGGTCTAAATCATCAAATGAATTACAACTGAACTCAAAGCAATCTGAAAGGGCATAATGAGATATAAGGGAGGTGAAAGAGATCGTTAGTAGAGCAAAGGGAAGGGGAAATGTACTTCGGTAAATCAGGAAGCACTTTTGATTCCAGAAGATTGATGATACTAATGCTAAACTCCAAGAAAGAAGGAAGAAAAACCCCTAAGGAGGTAATTTCCTAGCAACCTTTACTATTTCCTCTTAGGATAAATAATACACTAATAAGATATGTAGTTGAGAAATCTGGCAAATTGGTGTGAAAAAATAAAATCTTGTCTATTCCTGTTGCTCCTTTTATAATTCCACAATGAAACTAACCATTTATTTTTTATGGACGTATTCATCAGATTAGTTTTCTGACACCAAGTTGAATCAGATGAATATTTTGATGGACAAAGGAAGAAATATCAACAATACTTACGAAAACTTCTAAATCACTAATAAGGGTTTTGCAAGGCTAGCCTCATTCATTCCCCACAATCATCTTAAGTAGGCAACATTATTATCTTTCATTTATAAATGAAGAACCTTAGCAAGATGAAAAGAACTTGACAAAAAGCATTCAGTTGGTATGCTTATCAGAACTTTGACTCTAAAGCACCACTAACCACTGAGGTAATGGTTCCATCATAACTCACTAGCAAAAGAGTTAGAATTAATTAATGAAATTTCTAGGGTAGGGTTGGAACCTAGGCATCTGTGTATCTGTGGAAGAGAATAGCTGGACTGCCTAGGTAGGTAGATTGAGACATGGTGATTTTAAGTAACTTGCTAATGGTCAACAAGTTGTTTTGCTTCTGTATTTCCATTCCTTAGTTAGAGGACAAAAAAAGAGGTGTTATACATAATATTGCTGATATTCTCTATTTGTACAATATTATATATTTTCTTCATCTGTACAGTGAATATATCAATACTTACCTCTGAATGTTGCTGTAAGGTTTAAATGAGGAATGGCTGTAAAGTATCCATATAGATCTGGCAAATGAGATACTAAGCAAATGAGAACTCTTTTTATTATTACTATATCCCAAACACAGAGCCACAACTAGATTCAGCCTTACTCTCTCTTTTATAAATAAGTCTAGCGATTATTTATATGTGCGTGTATGCTGTGTGTGTATGCACATACATACATACATATATGTATATATATGGAAACTACCAATAAGCAATTATTTGAAGATAACAGGATACACTTTCTAAAATGAAAACCCAAATTTTAAAGAATATGTACTGAAAATATAAAAGTGTAACAAGCCATCTGATAAAATTTTAGGTTCTACTCCATAGTAAATGAAAAAACAAAGGCAAGGGCAAATTAATAACGTTGTGATGGGACTTACACATGTTGAAAACAGATGACTTAGAAATCTTATCTCCTTGGATTCTGACTAAATGGTAGAGTCCTAGCAAAGCATCCAACTGTAGCTACATAAATATAGTAAATAACCCAATTAGGCAACTATAATACCAGAAATTATAAATATTATGCTAACATAGTCATCTTCCATAAGTAGACAACTAAAGAGTACCTTATTCAAATTATGAAATTGACAGATCTATAAATAGCAACCCCTTAGGGGATTCAACTTGCACATGAAAATTTTATTAATAGTTGCTGAGAGAAATTCTAGTTCTCATCTAGAATCTTAAACATGCTGAGTCTCATCACAACACTAGCATTACCAGTTAATCTCATCTTTGCAAACAAAGAACTATCACAATCATAAGGCTAAATTCATCTTTAATGTGATCAGAAAATTTGAACTGTTTTTGTCTTTCAAAGTTAAACTAATTCCTAAAATGAAACCCTCTAAGGCTAGGCCAGGGAGTCAGTTCATTAAAGTTCAGCCACAATCTTTTACTAAACAAAACTGATCTCATAATAATAGTTTTGAACCTGGTCATTGGGCTTAATCTACTCTGAATCATCCTTATGGCATACCACTTCCATATTATATATTCTACTGTTAAGATCCCTAAACAACATATAAACCCAGAAACAATTTATCCAATCAGTAACTTGGACAGGGTCCTTTACTAAAAAGTTGAGGAATAAAATCCTCAACTTTTCCATCTGTTTATGAACAAAATAGTCTAATATAGACCCCTCCAATGCTCCATAAACAGAAGACAACATTTACACACGCATGCAATCTAAAGGGAATTATACTATCTCAGCACTCGATAATCTGAATACTTAAGGTAAGAGCTACCTTATTCTGAGAAATATACTTTTGTTCAGATACATAAGGTAGGGGCTAAGAACCAAAAGAGGCACTCAAAATAACGAAAAATTTACTGTGTTAATTAACAAGTGTTTAAAGGAGGATAGATGTTGCTAATGGGCAGACTTGTGTTTGATGAACATAGGTAGAATTGGCTATAAAATTGGGGAGGAAAATCTGGAATAGGTCTGCATGAAAACTCAGAAAACCAAAGATTTGGGGGAAGTGGAAAAAACTATAGTAAGAGAGATGAAGCTCCTTGGTATAAAAAGGGAAAAAGTGGAACAGTAGTTCACAGTAAAAGAAATGTATAACAAAGCCCCATTCAAGTTATTTGCAGTGGAATGTAAACTACTATCACCAAATCTTCAGCATATTCTACACTGCCCACTATTATTTACATATGAATAGAACTTGTCAAATTTGAGGACAAATTATCAGATGATTTCTGGATTGTAAATTTATTGAATAATAGGCTACTAAACAATATACTGCAAGTTGGGATTCAGTGGAGTTCTTTAAGCCTTATCTCTGCAAAGGATAAATTAAGGTATACAAATTACTTTAACTTCCCAAGCTATGAGGCTACTAAATAAATTGTATTTTGTAATCCAAGGCAGCCATTTCAATGTTTATCTGTGATAATGGTAAATAAGTATATGAACAAAATTTAAGAGCGATTTGAGAGGGGGAAAAAAGGTTATCTTTGGGTAATTTTTCTCACATTTGGAGTCTGATTTTTCACCTAATCATTAGTACATTTATATTCGTTCAACAGTAAGACTGAGAGTAGGATTAGAACCTGGACTGGCACTCCAATCCTCTTACACATAATACCCTTTATAATTGTAAATAAAGTATTATAAATTTAAAGATAGCTTTTATAAAGAAAACACAAGGCAGGTAGGTAGAGGGGATTATTGCAGAGCAAAGTTGAAAATTCCTTTGGTGCCATGTTTTCTCTACCTACTCTATGTAATTTGTTTTCTAAACTGCCAAAGATAAATAACAAAAGAAAAAAGAGAGGAAGACAGTAAGTCAAGGAAAAAGAAAAGAGAATGAGAGAAATCTGCTTTTAATTGCAATTTCTGGCAAAGCCAAGCTCAAGTACTCAGACTAAGTAAAATACCAAAAAAAAAAGTAAATGTTCATTTACAACTGCATCAAAAATAATTAAATACCTAGGAATAAATTTAACCATGACAATGAAAGGCTTGTACACTGAAAACTATAAGATACAAGAAATGGAAAGATATTTCATGCTCTTGGATTGTAAGAATTAACATTGCTAAAATGGCCACATTAACTAAAACAATCAACATACTGTCAATGTAATCCCTGTCAAAATTCCAACAAGATACTTCACAGAAATAGGAAAAAAGAATTATTTGGAGTTACAAATAGTCAAAACACTACTGAGAAAAAAGAACAAAAGTGGAGGTGTTATGCTACTTAAAAAGTAGAGGTTATTATGTTCTTTGCAATTTCTGGCAAAGCTAAGCTTAAATACTCAGACTAGCCATACTACAAAGTGAGATTCATCAAGACAGCATGGTATGGTTAGTTAAAAACAGAAACATAGATCAACCGAACAGATGTGAGAACCCAGAGACAAATCCACACCGATATAGACAGCTAAATTATGATAAAGCAGTCAAGAATAATATATTGGAGCAAGAAAAGTCTCTTCAATAAATGATGCCG